CCAGTATTGTTCTCTGTGCTCCAGAGAACAATACTAGAGTGAAATTAGACTGGACATACAGACCAGGTCTTGAAGGACCATATTCTACAAACACAACATATTAATTTTAGAAATATGTGCCAATTTAAATTTACTTTTTCATAGGGAAGTAGAGTTATAAAAGCTGCCTGTAGAGTCTTGCTTTGTTTTGCCCTCCAAGAATAATTTATTCCTTTGGGTTTGTCTAGACTTCAAAATCTTTTCCTTGAGAATCTAATATTGTCATATGTCTGACTCTATCAATGCTAAAGATTAGTGATATGGAACAGAATAGAGAAAAAAATCTGGGAAAAAGACAAGTTCTATTTAATTAGTTAAACCTTATACATGCCCTCAATCAGTCACAAATGTTCAAGTTATTCTAGAAATTAAAATTTATAAATAAAATTAATTAAATTTGTTGAAATGGGACAGCATTGTGGTTGGATTTTTAAAATTAAGTGTACTTAATGCCATTATATAGTCTTGTTGATTTTACATAGTACTTTCAAAATTTTGTAAATAAAAGCTCCAAAGCCATTTTACCCTGAAAAGGAGATCCTAGTACTGCTTTACTGCAAACAAGATAAGTCTGTTTACACCTGATAGTTTCTGATGCCAATTCTCTAATTCATGTGAAAATGATAATTGTTAGAATGGTCTTGAGACTAAATACTGATATGGTGTCTTTCATCTTCAGTCTATTTTCTTAAGTGTCATTATCTTATAAATATTGGGTCTCTCAGGAAGATTTCTTCTTAACTAGATTTCTGTTAAACAGAGAATTTCTAATCTGCTAATCTCCAACTGATATAAGTGCTTTGCATAAAGTGGGTGTAGTGCTCAAAAGAATTTATTTATAGCCTGTCAGATAGGCTTTGTATTGATTTTTTTTTCAAAAACCTTCCACAGAGAAAGATCATTAAATCATTTTAGCAGCTGGCATTACACCCTATAGCGTGGTCCAGCATCAGACCCTCATGTCTCCCCAGGTAGTAGACATGGCCACTGAAACCTCTTCAAGCTGACCTTCAAATCAAGAAATTGTAGGTTGTTTAGATAAGCCAGGAGTGCTAATTTGTTTCCCTGAAGTGCCTAAATTACTTTTTAGAAAACTACAGTGTGTGACAAATCATAGTAATAACAGCAGATCTTAAAATTTTGCCACAAGCATCACTAGCATTTGATGTGATCAAGTGGTTTTTTGGGTTTTTTTGTTTGTTTGTTTTTTCCTCTATGAAAAAATTGAAAACTCATTATGGACAACTTGAAAGGAAGGTGAAAGGAAAGGGAAACTGCTGTCCATTGTCATACTACCTAACATTTACACATTTTTGAAAAGAGATTGTTTTTCACATAGCCCTGTCCCAGACTTCAGCCTCATTGTCGAGTCAGCTGCTCCACCCCTGCACCAAGCCAGAAATAGCCTTATGGCTTCTTAGAATTGAAGATCAGCAGTATTTTCATGAGACATTTTGCACACATTTAATGACTTAAAACCCCTCTAAAGTAGTCATTGTCAAACCTGGCTACATATTATAATCATGTATGCAGCATTTTTAAAATATATAGATTCTTGGCTTTGCCTCAGACCTCCTGAATCAGAATCTCTGGCTTTAGCAGGGTCCATTGATTTTAATTTAAAAAAGAAAAAGAAAATTTCCAGGCTTTTGACTTACAGCTAGCTTGGGAACCACCATTCTAAATAACACTATTGGATTTTTGAGAGAGAAATTAATAACCCATAGCCCTTCAGTTAGTCTAAGTGGGGTTGGGATGATGGGACAGCTGCCCCTGGGACACAACAAAAGTCTAGTTGATATTGGGCACATCTCTTTAGAACTCATCCTGCCAAGTTCATACAGATGGGAAGCTTCCAATCTCTTTTTAGGAGGCTCCACAGATGCATACTATCAGATTATAGTTTGCTGACCTTGTCAGCTTTCCTTGGTTTCATAACATGTGCCCAGCTTTACTCAGTGGGGTCTTGTTTCTTACCTTGTATTTTTCAGATGTGTCTCCATCTCATTAAAGATGATGGAGCTCTGTGAGATTACCTAAACTTAAGGGAATACTCATGTACCAGAGGAAGGGATCCTCTTCACATTTCTTTCCAAAAATATTCCTGTTTTACAGACCAAAAAATAAAGGTGTATGGTAAAATAAAATAACTCAAGGTTTACATGGCAAGTAAGCAAAACTTAGGATTCCTAACTGGTCTACCTGCTTCCATCCTTATCCCACTACAGTAAATCCTCTACTTAGTAGCAGAAGCAGCGATTGTTTTTAATAAACTTTTAAATTATAGAACAGTTTTAGATTTATAGAAAAATTATGAAGCTAGAGCAGTTTCCATATAACCATGTTCAGTTTCCCCTATTATTAACATCCTACCTTAGCATGTTTATGCAGTTAATAAGCCAAAACCAATACATTATTATTAACTAAAGTCTGTGCTTTATTCAGATTTTGTCAGTGTTTACCTAATATTTTTCTATCTTTTTTCTGTTCTGGGGTTCCAGCCAAGAAACCACATTACATTTAGTTGTCATGATTCCATAGGCTCCTCAGGGCTGTGACAGCTTCTCTGACTTTCCTTGTTTGTTTTAATTTATTGAAATACAGTTGATTTTCAATACTGTGTTAGTTTCAAGTGTACAGACATTTAAAACTAAAGAGATTCTTTAGAAATTTCCAGTGAAGTGCTACGGGGTTTCTGTTTGCTTGTCATCATATGAAGCAAAATCCTTTCAGAGCTCACTTCCTCACCCATAATTTCCCCTGGTCCCACTCTTATAAGGAGCTATTAGTTTTAACTCCAGTTTTCAGGAATAGTAAATCTGTTATCTGTAGCAGGTTCAGTCTCAGATAAGCCGTTTTTCTGAGATTTAACTCAGACCCTCACAAGACTCTAAATGGAATATAGAGAATTTGCTCAATTGGCTGCTGGTCCACTCTTCTCTGGAGGAAGAAAGATCACCTTTTTTTTTTTCTTTGAAATAAGAAAAATATTTGGTAATTTGATTAAAAAAAAACAAACCCTGTCACTGAGATTTGCTATGCTCTTTTACTCTTGTTTATTTAGGAAATTCCACATGAAAAGAATTACTTATTGCATCTTTAAGCTCTGGACAGGAAACAAGGTTTCTGCTTCATCGTAGATCATATTTGGGGCAGAACTGAGAATACAGAGTGAAGCATAGCCATCCCAGAGCCTTCACTGAGAGCTTCCATTCTGGTTAATCAGTAAAAGGGAAATGTCACCTAGTCATCCATTTTCTATTTTGTGTTGAGTGGCTTCCATATTCTTAAAAGAGGTAACAAGGGTCAGAAACATCGGTGGATATGCAAATCAAAACCATCATGATTTCTCCAAAGAAGATGTACAGATGGCCAACAAGCACATGAAAGTATGAGCAATATATTAATCACTGGGGAAATGCAAACTGAATTTACAAAGGGTACCATTTCATACTGACTAGGATGACTGATCAGAAACATGGACAATAACAAGCAATGTGGCAAGCATGTGGGAAAAATGGACCCCTCATATCTTGCTGGTGTGAATGTAAAATGGTACAGCTACATAGAGAAACAGTTTGGCAGTTCCTCAAAAGACAGTTACTGTATATGACCTAGCAATTCCACTGTTAGATGTATACCCAAGAAAAATGAAATCACGTCTCCATGCAGAAACTTGTTCACAAACGCATTATTCAAAATAGCCCCCCAAAATGGGAACAACCCAGATGTCCGTCAGTTATTGAATGGATAAACAAGGTATGATATATTGTATGATGGAGTATTATTCATCCATAAGGAGAAATGAAGTACCGACACTACAGCATGGATAAACCTTGAAAATGTTTGCTAAGGGAAAGAAATCATGCATAAAAGATCACATATTGCATGATTCCGTTTATATGAACTGTCCAGAATAGGCAAATCCATAGATGCGGAAAGTAGATTAGCAGTTGTCAGGGGGTGGGGTAGGGGAATGGAGAGTGACTGTGGGTTTCTTTTTGGGATGATGAAAGTGCCCTGGAATTAGATACTGATGATGGGCTCACAACCTCATAAATATAAGTTTAAACCACTGAATTGTATACTTTAAAAGGGTAGATTTTATGACATGTAAATTATATCTCAATTTTAAAACAAACAAAAAAACCACAGGTAGGTACTTCACACCCGCTGGAATGGTTAAAATCAAAAAGACGATGACAAATATTGGCAAAGATATGGAGAAATTGGAACACTCATTCTTTGTTGGTCAGATCGTAAAATGGTTCAGCCACTCTGGAAAACAGTTTGACACTCTCAAAATGCTAAATACAGAATTATCATATAACTCAAGATTTCCTCTCAGGTATTTATCCAAGAGACGAAAACACATACCAACACAGAGATTTGTAAATGAGGGTTCAGAGCAGCTTCGCTTGTAATAGCCAAAAGCTGGAAACAATGGAGTACTATTCAGCAGTAAAAAGAAAGGAACTCCTGTTTCATGGAGCAACATGAATGAACCTCAGAAACGTCATGCTAAGTGGAAGCCAGAAACCAAGACTGCATGTTGCATGATTCCCTTTATATGAAGTTTCTAGAAAAGGCAAAACTATGGACAGAAAGCAGATGAGTGGTTGCCTGTGGTTGGCAGTGGAAGCAGTAGTTGACTGCAGACTGGCATGAGGGAGCTTTCTGTGGTGATGAAAAATGTTCTAAAACTGGACTGTGGTGGTTGGTTTGCTCAACTGCTTAAATTTACTAAGACTTGTTGAATTGTGCACTTAAAATGGGTAGATTTTATGGTATGTAAATTATACCTCAGAAATCTGTTTTTAAAAAATCAACAGTCCCTTTAGGACTCGATATATTTAAATCAGAAAAAAAAACTTTTTAAAAAAATGTTTTTATTGAAGTACAGTCAGTTTACAATGTTGTGTCAATTTCTGGTGTAAAACCTTTCTTCTTCCTCACTCTAGACTCATCCTCCCACTGACTTGAGCTTTAACTTTGATGCCAACAAACAACAAAGACAACTTATTGCAGAACTGGAAAACAAAAACAGGTAAGAATGCAGAGGTCAAGCCAGTTTCTGAAGCTTGAGACTATCACGTGAGTATCTGATTCTCTCTCTCTTTTTTTTTTTTTTTTTTTTTTTTTTTGCAGACTAGGTGGGTTTTGACCAGAAAGGGAGATCCCACTTCAATGATGATAGGCCAGCCCAAGTCCAGTGCATGCCCTGGACACTAATTTGTATACCTCTGCATGCAGTCCACTCTGGGAGTGCAAAACCCTGCTCACGTGCCCTCCCATAGACTCTTTTTCCCTCCCCTAGTGTGTTCCCCTCTCAGGATTCCTTTCCCTACTCTACTCTCAGGAGCCTCTGCTCTATCTTGTCATCCTGTCCCGGCCCATGATGCTGCATGCAGCTGTCTGTTCTCCCACTGAAAAGCCATTTACAGGTGGCAGCCATCAGCACTTGGTGGGGATGGGCGGGGTGGGGTCAGGAGACGAAAGGAGACAGAGGAGGACTTGAGGAATGTCAGCACAGGACCTGCATTAGGGGGTTGCAGGGAGTTTTTTCCTAACCCCCAGGAGGAATGGAGTATTCTAGATGTCATTTTTCTTCTGTGAAGATTTTCAAGTTCTCGAGAAGAGGAATTGTATGACTTTCTACCACAAAGGATTGTTTATTGAGGAAATCCCAAGTGAAGTAGTTTCGAGAAGGTGTCCGTTTCACATCTTGGTCATTCAGAAGCAATCAGAACAAGATTGGCAGAGGCAGCACTACTGGAATAAAGACTTCTAACAGGAAAAAGAAGAGAGGGAGGGAGCTGTGAGGCACCACGTAGCCATCTCCTTTTCACCCGTCCTCTCTAGAGAGATCCTGCAGGAGATTCAGCGTCTCCGTCTGGAGCACGAGCAGGCGTCCCAGCCCACCCCGGAGAAGGCCCAGCAGAACCCCACGTTGCTGGCAGAGCTGCGGCTGCTGAGGTATGTGGGGGCTCCTGCACCTGTCCCTCAGTTCTCATCTGCTACGGGAGGAACTTACAGCTCAGGAAACCAAACTAGTGGGCTAGGATCTGTTTAGCAGTGTAACTAGTCATGTTAGAACAAACAGCTAAAGCATTCCACTCATTCTGTTACTGCGTCGGATGTTTGGGTTCCTTTATTAATCACTTTGAGGTCTCCTGCCTTTGTTCCAGAACTAGGCAAACACTGTCTGCAGCCCCATGGACGAGCGGAGCAGTGGTTAGGCTGTTGTGATTGCTTTAAGAAGACGGTGCGTTGCACTTAATCTTATCTTGCAAATGAGTCTAACTGTAGAGACTCTTGGCAGGAATTCTGCTCTGCCTGTGCTATGAGTACAGTCTCTTGGCACGGCACAGTCAGAGTAGGAGTCCGTTGCAGGAAAAGCATGCGTTTCTACACATGTCCTCTGAGATGTGAAACCAAGTGGGAATCCCTTGCACTAGGGCTGTGGTACCTTCCCCCTTCAACATAAATGTAAAGTGTCTCAAGGCTCGAGAGACTAAGAACAAAGGATCTGGATTGGGGTAGAAAGCAACTTCAGCTCCTGCCTGATGTTGTCTGGGAGGAAGTGAGGAATCTTCAGGAAGACTATAACATGCACATGACCCGAGCAGAGTTGTCAGGATCTTATTACCTATCAATCTTAGAAAGACGTGTGTATCCTCTTCCATAAGTGAAGACATTATGGAAACTAAGTGAATGATTTGATTTTCACCAGACCTTGAGATTTCCAAACAGTGGGTTCTTTCTGATTAGGTTGGAACATTTGACAGTCCACAGTTGATTTTAAATATGCTGTCATCTGGGATTCTGCACAGCTGAATGTCCTTTTTTTTATGGCTTTTTTATTGGATTTTTTTTTGAGGGGGGAGGTAATTAGGTTTATTCATTTATTTATTTTTAGAGGAGGTACTTGGGATTTGAACCCAAGACCTCGTGCATGGTTAGCATGCACTCTACCACTTGAGCTATACCCTCCCCCCTGAATATTCTTTCTTAGTTCTTCCTTTGGCTTAGGTCATTTAGCATCCCAACCATGATTTCTTTTCTTAGAGAATAGAGATCATTGTTTTTCTATAACTATCCTGATATTTAGATTTACATCATTAATAAAGAAATCATAAAGAATTTAAACTATGTAGATGAAAATCATTAGAGATACAGAAATGCCCATTCTCCTAAAAGTTCATTTTAGTTTCTAACTTTGGTTGGGCTGAGATTTTGGTTGCTCTGGGTCCACTGTCACACAGTTGGGGTATCAGCACAGTTGGTGTCACACTAGGAAGGATGAGAAAGCAAAAGCTGCTGACTCAGGTAAAGTGGAACTCTAAGCTAGTGGCATAAGATACACTGTTTTCTTTCCTTGTGCTCAGGCACAAGTGACTGTTTTATATCTAGAAAAGCAAAAAGCTGTCATACTTTAGTCTAACTATTGCTGAAACTGGGATGCTTGAAGTGCTTCCATATGCTGGAGGGATCTGAAAAAAATCCTAGATTTACATAGCCAAAGGGCTGAATCCAGCAGTGTCACATGAGGCAGTAAAAAGCAGGAATTTAATCGTAAGTCCAAGGAAGGTCTAAATCCTGAGAAATCAGAATGTATTTAATCTCAAAAGCAGCTTCTATATCACTGAAAAAAAAAGGGACTATTTAATAAGTGTGCTGGATCAATTAATTGGTCATGCATAAGGACAAAACAGATTGGCTCTCTTCCTCAGGCTATATGCAGAAAACACCAGCAGATGGATTAAACATGGAGACAAAAATGTTAAAACTCCTAGAAGAAAACACAGGAGAATTTCTTTAGGATTTTGGAATAGAAAATAATTTCTCAGAATTACTAGCCATGAAAGAAATTGTTGAATTCACTTATATTAATAGTACAAACCTTTGTTTATCATAAGACATGTAAAGGGCAAGATTCATTTGTAGGTTCTGACATCCTTCTGGTTTTGATCAGTATATATGAATCCTGAAACTGCCAATACCCAGCTAGTGTAATAAAGCAAAAAAGAGAGTTTCATCCTTAGGGCTAGTGGTTATGAATCCTGGCCACCAAGATTATCTTTTCTCCTTTATTATGATTTTTAATGATATGTTTGTTATAATAATGATGTAAGGGACAAATGAGTCAGATCTGAAGCATAATGATGAAGTGAACACCCAGGAACCCACATCCTACTTGAGACCTCATATATTGCTTAAACCATGTCATCTGCATATCTGCCCCCCTTATCCCACTTCTTTGCTTCCGACTTCTCCCCAAAGCTAACCTCCATCCAGAATTTGGTTTATCATTCCCTTGCTTTTTAAACAAGATTGTCAAATGTAGGTGTATGCCCACATAATACAGTGTCTAGTTTTGCTTTTTGTTTTTTGAGCTTTATAAAAATGGTATTGTATGCCATCTTCTGGGACTTTTTCCCCCTTAATATTACTCTTTAGGGTCCTTCCGTGTTGTTGCATGTAGCTGTAGTTCATTCATTTTTGGCCACATATTATAATTATTTGACCACTCACAGCATGGAGAAAGAGTACTGCATTCAGTCTTGGAAGTTCAGAAAGGCTTTTTAGAAAATTGAATGAGTCAACTTCTCCTTATTGAGTTTATGCCTATGCTGGAAATTTAGGGAGCATGAAGACCAGAAGACAATGATTCTACCTTAAAAATGTATAATCTAGCTTTAGAAACAAAATGTAAAATAATTTGATAATCAGTTAAGTAATATTTTGCAGTGTTAATAAATAGTATGGATATTAAAAGAAATTTGAGTAGGGAAAGATATATGTATATAAACACATACATAGGCCAGAAGCAGTTAAACCCATGGAGGTAGTAGAATTTGGGCTAGACCATGAAAAGGTAGGTATGGTTTGAATGGAATGTGGGACAGACCATTTCAGATTAGAAGTGGAGCTGGAGTTTGGCAATATCCCCCAAATAAGTAAGATATTTCAGAGAGGGGAACAAGTCTTGATGCTAAGAAATTGTTTCAATCATCCAGTGAATTAATCTTTACAGTGCCAATGACAGGAGATTAAATTAGTTAGATAATTGAAACCAGATTCTGGAGAGCCTTAAGTGATACATCATTGGAAATCCTTGGAGGGCTTCAAATAATGGTTTTGTTAAGTTCACTAGATGTTAATTGAGTCCACACTGGATGCATGATATTCTCTTAATCATTTAATAACTGCAAAGATGAGTAAGGCTCATCCCCTCACCTCAAGGATTTTGTGTCATGGTAGGAATGACAGCAGTACAAGGTAAAATAAATTAAGTGCCAAAGAGAAGCACCAATTTCTGTAATTAAGCAGGATCTGATACCTGCTGAAGGAGTCAGGAGTAGCTTCCTGGAAAGAGTGACGTTTGGGATGGACACTAAGAAGTGAATAACCTTTGGAAGAGAGTCCGGGAGTAGCTTTGAGTCGTAAAACGGGGTCTACTTAGGGGAAAATGAACCACGGCCAGAGGTCCAGACATGGAATGGAATAGGAAGTGAGGAACTAAGGATTAGAATGTAGGGGGGTCTGGAGCGGCACTCTCTGGTAGAAATGTCATGTGAGCCATATGTATACTAAAAATTTTCTAACAACCATGTTGAAAAACTAAAAGGAGATAGGTGTCATTAATATTAACACTATCTTTTATATAACCTGTCATATCCAAAATATTATCATTTCAACGTTTAATCATTAAAAACATTGAACAATTATCGAGCTGTTTTACTTTCTTTTTATTCACACTAAGTTTTTAAGATCCAGTGTGTATGTTACACTCACAACACATCTCAGTTCAGACATGTGCCCAGTAGTCATTTGTGGCTAGTGGCTACACAGTGGACAACAGAGTCTAGATTGTGCAGGACGAGCCGGTGTTGCTAGAAATTCTGCTATTGAGATTATTGCATGGGATGATGAAATGAACACAGCTTTCCTTTGAGCAGCATTGTAAAGTTCACAGAACACTTTCATATCCATTCTCTTATTTGATCCTCAAAATATTGCTTTTACTTGTTATTAGTCTTATTTTAGAGAAGAAAAAATTGATGCTCAGACAGATGGAGTGACTTGTCCAAGGTTGCATATTGAGTAAAATGGTGGGCCTCAATCTCTTGATTTATAGTCTCCTGCTTCTTTCTGCCCATAAGAGATGAAATCGGGATTAATGAAGCTAGGAGGCCATTGCTTGTGTGAGGTAAGGAACACTTGAATCAAGCCCAAGAAGCAGAAATAGAAAGATATGTGAATGTCCAAGAATTGCCTGAACTGGGTGATTGGTTGAATATAGGAAATAAACAGGGAAGTATCAGAGGACTGAGTTTTCCAGCCATGACAACTATAAGAAAAAGTAGGAGAGACAGGGAAACTGAGAAAGAGAACCAGGTGGAAAGGAATGTCTTAAGTTTGGTTTTGGACAGATTGAATTAGAATTGATGACATGAAATCTGTCCTCAGAGAAACTGAATTCTCTCAGACACAGTCATCCAGATGTCTGTCACACTTTTTGATCCTGATGTATGGTTCTGGAAGCACAGACTCCTGAACCCTGTTTCCCCTGAGCTGTTTTTATACATTTCTTCCACTATTAATTTAAATTGGGGCTAGTTTTATGTATAAATGAACTATTTGACTTTCTAAAGAATTTTTTAAGTCACTTTAGTAGTATTAACAGTACTTTTTCCAGGACCATCCATGTTGCTGCAAATGGCATTATGTTGTTTTTATGGCTGAGTAGTATTCCATTGTATAAATATACCACATCTTCTTTATCCAGTCATCTGTTGATGGACATTTAGGCTGTCTCCATGCCTTGGCTATTGTAAATAGTGCTGCTATGTCATTCTAAGTGAAGTAAGCCAGAAAGGGAAAAAAAGATCGCTCATATGTGGAATCTAAAAAAAACAAAAACAAAAACAAACAAACAAAGCATAAATACAAAACAGAAACAGACTCATAGACATAGAATACAAACTTGTGGTTGCCAAGGGGGCAGAGGGTGGGAAGGGATAGACGGGATTTCAGAATTGTAGAATAGATAAACAAGATTATACTGTATAGCACAGGGAAATATACACAAGATCTTATGGTAGGTCACAGAAAAAAATGTGACAATGAATATATATATTTTCATGTATAACTGAAAAATTGTGCTCTACACTGGAATTTGACACAACATTGTAAAATGATTATATATCAATAAAAAAGTTAAAAAAAACAATACTTTTTCTCTGTATGGCAGTGTATGCTTTCCAAAGCATTTTTACATACTAGTCTCACAAAGTAAAGGAAAGTGAGCAAAAATCACCCTTTTATGCACCCTGTATCGGAGCTTAAATGACTTGCTCAGCATCTCCTACACTGGTCCATAGCAGAATCAGATGTGAAACCCATTTCCCTCGGCCTTCAACTGCTCTTCTTTGAGGATCCCTTTGTCTTCATTTCTTTCTTCTTTTGTAATATTCAATAGGCACATTGCAAACAGCTTTTTAATGTTTTTAATTTACAGTATCTTTCTGTGGTCTAACTATTCTTCCATTTCTTCATTTCTTTCTTTCTTTCTTTTTTTTTTAATGGATACTGGGCATTGAACCCAGGACCTCATGCATGCAAAGCATGCGCTCTGCCACTGAGCTCTACCCCCACTCCCCGACCATCTCTTCGTTTCTGATGGGCTTCTCCTCTCTGATAGGCAGAGGAAAGATGAACTGGAGCAGAGGATGTCGGCGCTGCAGGAGAGCAGGCGGGAGCTGATGGTCCAGCTGGAAGGGCTGATGAAGCTGCTGAAGGTAAGAACAGCGGCTACTCAGGTCTCATCCTCCCACCACTCAGCTCCTCTTGTCCATCTTCACCCCTAGCTCAGTGTCTGCCTCCCCTGTGATGTCAGAACAAGATGAGGCTAAAGGGTTAAATAAATATTGTTGCCGAGACTCAACTTTCAGGTAAACCTCCATGAAGTTAGCCTAATTTACTATAAAGTTCATCTAAATTAGTGTAAAGCCTGATTACAAAAAAAAAAAAAATTAGTAACTGGTACTAGAGTAATGTCCTTGAATAGTTGCTTTTATGAGCAAATAAGAATGTTTATAAATAGGATATGAGCTAAGTATAAATGAATATTTCTCAACTGTGTAAAGCTTCTTTTAAGGCAAGCTTTCAAATATTCTACCTAAATACTTAACAAATACTGTGTCCTATTTTAATAAGTATTACAGAGGCATACCAACCTAATCTAACCAACTCTGATCAATAATTTTACTCTATTCGGAGGAATAAGATAGCATATAACTCTAGGTTTGGTGTATTGGGGCTTGAATAAATCTGGAATAATTCAGGTCTCACTATTTTTATTGAAAAATATATTACAACCCTTATACCCTAGAGCAGAGAAAGGCATGTTTGACATTTAAATGTCCTCACCTGGACAATTTGACTGGCACTGAACAGAAATATTTACCCAACTCGGAAGCAGGAATACCAGGACACATGTGTTCATGCTGTTCATCCCTAAGGTCTGTCTGTACTGTGAACTCACTGTATTTCATGGTATGACCCAGAGTTAGAAGCCAGAGTGGAAATCACACAGTGCGGACTATGGGCTGAGGGAGTGGATTTAATCCTGTGATGAAGTAGAGTCATTAAAGGTTTTGAAGGCAGTAGTTTAGGAAGATATGCACAAAGGTTAGGAAGAGGAGAAACTAAAGAATAGTAGGAGCAATGAGCTCATCCAGGCCCACAGTGACAAGGATCTAGACGAGGAGGGGTAGGCCTGGCGCATGTCAGCTTGAAGACTTTCCTTCAACTCCTCCATTCTAAACCGGTCCGTTAATAATGAAGCCAGTGGGTATTAGCAACTTTGGGTAAATGGAGTGTTTGTGTTTTAAGCTGACTTTTGACTTGCTCAAAACAATCACTTCTTTTAGTCTTGAGCTGCGTTTTTTCTAGCTTTGGTCCTGGGTATTTGAGTTGTTTTGCATGGACCTGTTTCTGCATTAAGCCTGTTAGCAGGATTTCTCCTGAGAAATATTTTATGTCTAAATGAGTCTTGTTTAAAGAAAACCTTATGCCTAAAACCTGACCCAAATCCCTCTAATAGCTGTCAAGTATTCAGCTAAGCAACCCAATCACCCACTCGAGAGAACAGAAATATGCTTAAGTACATTTGGCCTGTGTAACATCTGGAGCCTCGTACGGTTTTGAAAGCCCTGCCATTGTGGGGTTAAGTCCACTTGTAGGACAGAAGGTCATAGGGGATTCACCTCCTTTTCAGAAAGATGCTCTCAAATGTTACTTAAACAGAGATGGGAAGGTACCCCAGGGTGATTTTTGTAAAGGCAAAGGTTTATGCAAACTGAAGGGAAGTCAGAATGCATTTCCCCGAAGTATTACAGTAAGCTTTCCCGTCAGCTGGCTGCCCTCAGTGTTCCTTGGAGTTCCTGGCTCAGCCCCGTGTGCATTACCATGACCTTGTCGTGTACCTCTGATACTCATATTCAAGGGCTAAGCCGAGTGAGCTGATGCCTGGAACTCTAATCCCCACCCTGAGTGTCTTTATATTTCCAGCTGTTGTCTTACAGTTACAATTTCAGTAAAATAAGCAAGACCCCTCTGCTCTTATTTTGTAAGATCCCCAACCAAGTTGTTAAATGCATTATCATTCACCTACGCAACAGGCTGAGGTTATTCAGAAAGGGAAGACAGTTTTGCAAACAAACCAGGAATGCTGTCTTGTTATCCATTGATTAAAATTCACAGTTGAAAATCACAGACCTTTAGTGTCCTAAAAGGATTATAGCATAATCTTAATTTGTGTATTATATGCACTCTGCGAAGGTCATCATAGGAATCACTGACTTCTATTAAAATCTCAGAGTTGTTTTCCTACTATTAAAAGATACATTCCCCAGTCCATAATAAAAGTACCCTTTAGAATCCTAATTTTAATTTCAAAGGACTGTCCTGCTTTCATTGATGTTCAGTCTGCTAGCATTTAATTCTCTCATAAAACAGCTGTAAGCAGTTAGTCAAATGGACAGTCGAGCCACATGGTCTTGGGTACTCGTGAATTAAAATACACCACGCAGTAAATTTCCATTTCACAGGGAGTCCTTTCATTTTACTGCTTCATTGAAATACTGTGTAGTTTGTCTATTTATCTGAAAATCGATAATGTAGAGAACTGTACGTATGGAGTGTCACCATTGTTTATTAATTCATTCAACAAAAATCTTAGATCTTTTTTGGGGAACAAGGCAAGGTAAAAATTAACCATACGTTTATTTAACCAGAAAAGTATTGAGTTCCTGAGAGTCATGTTTAGGTACAATGGTGACTAAGACTTAATCCCTGTCACCAAGAAGTATCAGGGACCTTCTTATTGTTGGTTTTTTTCCCTAATGACATATTACCTGACACTCAGGTATCCATGTTTCAGAACGTATCTTTTCTTTACATTTTTTCCTTTGATTAATGAGTATTTGGATAATGTCTACCTCAAACTTCTTATTTAGTCTAGAAATAGTTATGTGTTGGTGTTTTAGTGTCTAAATCCTGTTCCCAATATTTTTCTGCCTCATTTTCTGTTTGTCCATTATTGCTTTTGAGATGCATTTACCAGATGAATTCTGTAGTTTTGAATTTTAACCTCATTTGCAAATGAGATTTTGAACATAACATGTCTTTATATAGATGACGACAGTGGCTGTGGCATTTCTTCAGCCACCTAGCCGAATATTCCCCCTGTGGGTGGGGCTCACATGTTTTTAGGTGACTTGAGCAGTCCTAGGTTTGCCCTTCATAATTAAGGTATTATTACCCCCTTTAAATCAAGTGGGCTCCTATGCCTTGTCATCAGTCAATGTTTACTGACCCCAGCTGACTAATTGATAATGCAAAGGTTCTAAGGCCTTTATATCTGACCTGTTTACTGTGTTGACAGAGCCTTCAAAGCTTTATCTGATTAACTTTTGTGAGTTTGGATTATACAACACCATCCTAAGTAACACTTTGCCAAAGTCCACCCTCTCCTAATCCCGGTGCACATGGGGGACCTCTACATCCTGAAAACACTGCCCTGTCCGCTCTCCCCATCCTAACCAGACACGTGTTTACTGCACATTATAACGATTTCATGTCCTCAGATAAACTGTATACAGTAGAGTTCAAATGTTCAAACATGAAACATTGCTTTCTGAGTTTCCCTCTTCTGTTGAACCAAAGCGGTGTTGTCTCTAATACCAAACCTGGAGAAAACAGTGAAAGCAGGGAGATGTCTTAGAAACAGTTCTAAGAAATTACATCCTGCTCTTTGGATCGCAGATGCAATTCCAGCTGGTCAGGATTGCCCTGTCCCTCCCCCACCATCTCAATTTCCATTTCAACATTTAGCGCCAGCAATAAAAACACATTTTCAATTGTTTAATAACTCTTCTATGGCTGTTTGCCTAGTGAATGGAAGAAAAGTGTTCTACCCCACAGGGAAGCCTGGCCAGGGAGGACGATCGCTTCCCACCTGTGAAACTCTCACCCCTTCTGACTGGAGCCGTGCGTACCAGACGCAGAAGCTACAAGATGCTAACTTCTTAAGCTAACTCAGCTAGTGCTCGGGGCCCTCTTTGCCTGGGTGCCTGTGATTTTAGGCTTGGGCAAGCGTCTAGCAGCTGGCTTTGATTATGAAAAACATCTTCTGGTGCTGAGTTGGAGTCTCCTCAAGAGATTTCTTGGTGCCCATTTAATTTCTAGTGCATGTCTCCCTTGCAGGGATAAAATTACTTTCTCCAAATTTTGACTTCCCTGCTCCCTTTTGTAATTCCTTGGCTTTACTGAAGTCATTCTCGCCATTGCACCCAGATCTGCAGACTGAGAAGCACTTACCCAATCCTAAGACTTCCTACACACATGTTCAGTAGAGATGGTCTGCACGGATGGATCCAATTTAAATAGAATCATTGCAACAGCTTTTAGATTTATGTATTCAGGGCAAAGAGCAGAGGCTTCTGGCCACAGTTACTCATGATGAGGCACAGAAAAAGGAAGCGAAGAGACCCATTAAAAGACAGAGTAGCTGAGGAGAACAGGACTGAGGAGAGAAGAACTCGGAAGTGTTTGTTTCATCTTCATTGTGCTTCATGCTTCAGTCTAGAGGTGCCTTCTGAGAACTGAGAGTTAGCAAGGACCTGCTCTGAGCACCGTCACTGTGAGACTCTGAAAGACAGAGACCATATCTTACCTTCGTGTAAGAAGCACTAAACAAACCTGTGTGGAAGTAACGAGGCACTGAAGTCGAGAATTCTCTTTGAAAAGCCATTTAGAGTCTTGGAGCAGTTTGCAGTTTACTGGGGGAAGGGGACGCATGTGCATCCTTGCAAAGAACCACAAAGCAGCCCAAAAGCTCCAAAAGTAGAAGACAGGGAACTAAATAAGAGAGTCTATGTTCAGGTGGAGTTGTCGGTTTCTAGCAAGTTCTTAAAAGCAGTGGTTCTCAAATGAGCAGGATTCAGAATAAGCTGAAAGGCTCAGGAAACAGTGCTACCCACACCCGGAGGGTTTTGATTTCGTAGGTGGCGAGAGGTGGGGGGTGGGCAGAATTTGCATCTTAGGCAGTATTCCAGGTACTGCTGCTGCTGCTGGTCTGTGTTCCCCACTTTGAGAACCACTGGCCTAGAGAGCTGTACCTAAACACACGTGGATATGTGAATGGTCAGACAGAACCATCGGTGGGCCTTTGAGTCATGGTTGAGCTGCTGCTTTCAGTTTACCCTAAATAGGGATGTGACCTGGGGCGAGTCAG